CACACACACACACACACACATATATATTTATACATACACACATCACAAGCATACACACACACACACACACACACACATATATATACATATATATATATATATACATGTATATATATACACACATATATATATATACATATATATATATATACATATATATATATATATACATGTATATATATACACATATATATATATATACATATATATATATATACATATATATATACATATATATCACATGTCCTTGTATACAACCTACACCCATACAAACCCCACATCCCGCCCAAGTGACCAGCGTACACACCTTGCTGCGTGCTTCTGGTGACTTCATATCGAGTGCTGTGGCGGTGTTTTCTGAAGACGCGTCCTGCAGAGACATGTGACACAGTCCTCTGAACACCAGCCATGCATCGTACTGTTGGATGTGGGAAAATTTAAGCGCCTGCTCATCCTTGACCTGCGCAACTGTTAATGGAGTGTGTGTGTAGTTGTTAAGTGGATGATGTAGGCGTGTCTGTAGTTGTTGAGTGGATGGTGTAGGTGTGTATGTAGTTGTTGAGTGGATGGTGTGGGTGTGTATGTAGTTGTTGAGTGGATGGTGTGGGTGTGTATGTAGTTGTTGAGTGGATGATGTGGGTGTGTATGTAGTTGTTGAGTGGATGGTGTGGGTGTGTATGTAGTTGTTGAGTGGATGGTGTGGGTGTGTATGTAGTTATTGAGTGGATGGTGTGGGTGTTATTGGTGTAAGTGGTGTGGTGTAGTTGCTGAGTGGGTGGTACCGGTGCAGAGGTGAGACCTCCACAGACCGCTAGTCATTGACTCTAAACCAACTGGTGATATTTCAACGTACACGATATGTGTGTCTGTTTATTTTAACGTATACGATATGTGCGTCGGTTTGTTTTAACGTATACGATATATGTGTCTGTGCATGTGCGTGAACGGAGTAAGAAGCCAAACGTGAAGCTATGAATGTATAGATGGATTGTAAAGCTAAATTCAAAGCTGCCGTTGCAGGTAGGTAGCTCAGACATCAGGGTATGGCGTAGCAGAACGAATAAAGATAGCTGGAGAAAATGCACAGAGAAACTGACAAGCGAAAGAAGAAGATACACAGCACAAGGTGCAAATCACACACCGTATTGATTTTGGTGTCGAGTTGAATTGAGTATACATGCATGTAAACACACACACACACACGCACACATTATATATATATATATATATATATATGTATATATATATAGTATACCCTATAGGTCTATACGAATACAACCTATAAGTCTATATGAATACAACCTAGATAACGCTCAATCTAAACGATACATACTAGGGCAATATATATAAACGATAAGGACAATAGACCGATATATACAGAGGGAATATGAGAAGGCGATTCGTATGTTGATACAAAACGACACAGATAAAGTCATATGAAACTCATGCATGCATGGGGTAGTAGTGCATGGCATACTTGTATGTACACAGATGAGTCATGCGACACCTATGTTAGTTCATACATACAGACGGGTTTGTCTCCGTCCAGAGTGTCTTCTCTTGTGAGGGCCAGCGGTGCGTCGTCAGCGGTACCGTCAGTACTACCTTCAGACATCGCACCCATCATAGCCTGTAGGTAGGTTTAAAGTGGGTAGGGTTAAACCGAGTAGATACAGTGTGGGTTGGCGGAGTGGACCTTTAGTACGGCCCAGTGCATCATAGGCAGTGGTGGGTGTTGAAGTGGGTAGGGATAATGTGGGCAGGCTCAGTGGTATCCTTACTGTACTCTGTGGGCAGTCTTCGTTTGGATAAGTATGGTGTTCGCACAATACTTCACCAAGACAACCGACACAACCTAGCACGCACCAAGCCTATGCAGGTTAGTATGGAAAATGTGTTTATGTATGTAAGCATATGTACATATATGCACGTGTGCATGTATGCATATAGGCATCTATATATATATATATATATATACATACATACATACATACATACATACATACATACATACATACATACACACACATACATATATACACACACACACATACACACACACACACACACACACACACACATATATATATATATATATGCATGGATGGATGGATGGCTGAATGGATGCATACATATAAACAGCGCACTCTCCCCCATGCCTTGGTTGCGTGGTGCTGCATCTCTGCGTGTGAGGGTGCTAGTGCGTCGTGGGGCAGGCTGGGTGTGTTGCTGATGACAAGGTGTTCTACGTCTTCGCCTGTTCCGCTGTCATTCGAGTTTTGGCGACTCAGACCGTCCACCACGTCATCAATGACGTCATCAATGACGTCATCTTTGGTTCCGGTGACGTCGTCGGGTTCTTTGGTCTCCTCTGTCGTGACATTTGCGGTCGCAGCGGTGCTGTCTTCCGACGTCTCCAGGGTCTAGGGTTTAGGGTTATTAGGGTTTTTGGTTTAGCAAGTGTGGGACGGATGGCGTTTATGGGTCTAATGTTGTGGTGTTTCTCTTTGGGCGTGATGACCATCTTGAAGTGAAAAGGCCATTCACCTCCGAGTAAGAGATTGGAGGGGGGAAATTTGTATTACGATGTGAGTGAGTGCAATTGAACGCATATATAATGTAATATATATATATATATATATATATATATATATATATATATATATATATATATATATATATATATATATATATACTATATACATACTATACTATACT